TCATCAGTGCCAGGGCCGGCTCCAGGGTTTTTGCTGCCCCAAGCGGCAGGAAAAAAAGGAAAAAAAAATGCCGCGATCGCGATCCATGGCAGCTCTACCGCACCGCTTTCTTCTTCGGCGGCAATTCGGTGGCAGGTCCTTCCCTCCAAGAGGGACCGAGGGACCCTCCGCCGAATTGCCACCGAAAAGCCCGACGTGCAGCCCCTTCCCCTTGACCACCCTAAGTACCTGCTTGCTCAGCTGATGCCTGGAGCCGGCCTTGATCAGTGCATGCCCTGTTATTTCTTTGTAAGCCGATGGACTGATTTAGCAGAAACAAATCAGAAATATAGTCAAGTAAGGGTTTACTTCAGAGGACGTGTATAGCTGTGACTCAAACAAAAACAAGTAACAAACTACCCCTCTGACTGAGGTTCAACCCAAACCCATGTCCTTGGGTGTAGAGTCCTGCCATACCACAGGCATGCCCCCTCCCAAGTAGGTGTGCATGAGGTGAGAGAAGATCACCTAAATTTATCTAACCTTTGCTTCAATGAGGACTCTGTAGTGGCCCTGCACCCAGTTACACATGGTGTGCATGTTTCTGTATGTGAGTCTCTAGTGGTATGAGTACATAAGATGATCAATTTTATATACTCTTGTACTTATGTTCATTTTTTGTAAATTATAACAATATCCTATGTAACTCCTATTGATATTAATGGAAGTCATGCATATGAACCAACAGAAGAATAGGCATAAAAGGTCAGAATTTCATAAAGAAGGGTCAACATTACCTTTGCATGTCTACATTTGCGCCGATACATCCAATAAAGGTACGTGCAAAGGGAGCCTTTGTGCATAAGATGGCCATTTAGATCCATTTGTTTGTGCAAATGCCCAATACACCTATACAGTTTCAGTAATAGTGCAAAAGAACAGCACAAGTGAACGCAGGACTAGGGCAATACTTTATGAAAACTACACTCAAAATATTTAACCTGTTGTTAAGTTTAGTGATCCAGGCAGGATTTCTTCCTTTTCTTACGTTACGAAGTTTTAGCTTTGAGAGTTAAGTTTTCCTCAACCAGTAAACCCTTTTGATGAGGAAGCTATGATTTTTCTTGGGACAGTATTTATTACCTTCTGGCCTAAATTAGCTGTAAATCCACTAATTGTCAAACTAAATACCTAAATAAAAATTCAATTGCACTTTATGAGTTGCATCCACAAGACCTATGTTGATTTATAGCAGCTGAGGGTCTGGTAAATGAAATTAATAACGATAATGTCTTTGCTGTGAGTACTATCTATATAGTTTCGATCACATTCATGGCAAAGAGCTCAACTTATTTCATGTTTGGTTGGAGGGGGATGTAAGCGGAGATCAGTTTTGAGTGAATCTGTGTTGATGCATTGTTTGACCCATGTCCAGAGGTGGTAATAAATAAACTCCCTCCATTATCTACAGAATCATTCCCACTTCCACAAATTTATGTTTGCTATAGTATTGTTAGGATAACAAGCTGCACTACATGCAAAAGCAGATAATACATCTTAAAAAATTGCAACATGGCAGTCTTTACAGTTGAACTATTGATTGCTATGCTCAGAGAGGATATTGACAGGACCCAAGTATGTGGAAGTCCAGCTTCAGACTCCTGTTATATTATAATCCAAGAACAAGACATTAAATCAATCTGTAATATTATTAAGGGAGCACTTGATTCCCACTGATTTGAGTTATAGACTATTTTTTTTTACTGCACACTGTCCTGGCTAGTGCAATGATTTAGTGCGGTTAGAAAAATAGTAAATCAATTCAGCTAAAAATGTTTTCAATTTGCAGGGACAACAAGTTTTCCACAGCTTGTGCCAAATGAACGAGCCATTATTTTTGGTCTAATATAAGCATTCCATCATCTTCCCCTGCCCCTTCTTCACAGTCATGACACAACCCCTGGGGAACAGAATAAAAACAGAGTCCTTGACTTTGAGTTTACTAGTGGGGATAGACATTAGTTATGCTTTCTTGAAGTTTAAAATATTCCTTTGGATTATGTCTAACAGTTTTCAAGAAAGGAGAAAAAAGCAATAGCACTTCTTTAAAGCTGTAGTGTGGATTGGAGCTGCACAGTGGTTGCATGAGAAAGTATAGGAGTGAGCACCACAGAATAGAATAGATCCAATTCTAATGTTCACTGCTTCCTCAAATGTTATTTCTTTTTATTCTTTTCTTTGTTACTTTCACCCTTTGCATTTTGTTCATCTGAGCTGTAACTTACACCTCCCTTCACTGGTGCAAGAGCTCAGTTTCGGCTGCCCAAAGTCAATGAGATGTAAATACTTTATGAAACCTAGTTTTCTTAAATCCGCTGTAACTCTTTATGATTGTTGACATTAGCAGCAGAATGGCCCTTACTCATGAGCTAATCAAATTGCAATTCAACGAGTCCAGCAGATGTCTGAGTTTTGCTTCACTGTGAACTTTTTGGAGTCTCTTTCCCTCATTCCCAGGAACCATGACCCAATATTAGCAAAGTATTGCTGATCCAACTAGCAATAACAAGACTGAAATAAGACTCCTTCCCCACAAGCCTCCAAAGGTTCAGAGTTTCAGATACCAAAGCTTCTATGCTTATTCAAATCCTCTTTGGCTTGTAAAATTGAGGGAAGAGAAGTATATGAGATTAGGCTCTCAGAAGATTTATGGTATTTCCTGCAACTGGTTGACATGGAAATATCAGTTTTCTCACAGTATTCTGGCACTTCAAAGTCATGTTCTGGATGGAACTTGGCAATACAGATGCATGTAAGAAAAACAGAAGTCTATTCTCTTCCCACAACAACAAAAAGAAACTTGGTTTGATTTAGGGTTTATGTTAGTTATACCAGGTTTATCCCTCGCTCTCTTTTCTCTTAGGATATCCAAGGGAAGAAGGCTGCTCAAATCTCCCTGCATGGTAACTGATTTTAGTATTACAGAGATAATCTTCACAGTGCAGGCCAGCTAACCTGGAGTTCCTTGTCCATCTTCTATCTACTCAAGGTGGACACTGGATTTTCCAAAAGGAAGACACATTACAGAAAGAAAGGAACTGCCAAGGAAATTGGGGACGTTCTGATGTTGGGCAGGGAAAGTCTGAAAACTCGTGGTTCAAACCTACTTTCTCTTTGGCCTCTTATCTACAGTGTCAGTTTGATTTCAGAAAATAGCTTTTGTCCATATTATGTGAATTTTCTGGATAATCTACTCCTCACAATGCAGGACATAAAAACATTTTCTCCAATATGGTTTGGTGGTTGGGGGTGACCTCACAAACCTAGTTACTTTCTGTATGAGGCTTTGTGTCTTTATGTTCCACCTATTTTCTTTTTAATTAAATTCTCTGACTATGGCTAGTGTGGGGATAAACTCACTTTCAAATTTATGATTGATTTTCCAATATAATTGTGACATCCCAAATTACATTCAATACGTAGGAGTGTGTTCCACCTTTTTGTGTCTGCTCGATTTTCTTTTATGACTGTAATACCACTGATGCAAATGCTAAGGTTATTCATTTTCTGCAAGAATAGTTCTCTTTTAGGAGTAAAGAGAGGAGTAGGATAAGAAATTTAAATTGATTTATTTCCACTCATCTTGCCTGATCTGTTTTGGCACTAACACAGAGGGAACAGATTTCAGGCACCGGGATTATCAGTATAAATACTAACCGACTAAACTGAGGCAATCTTCTTGTTTGGGGTTATGAAGACAACCACTTCCTGAATATTACGCATTGCTAAAAACTGCCATTTTGTTGCCAGATGCTTCCAACGTTAGGAATCCCAACCATTGCAAGTAACCGGGGCAATCGCTGCTCTAAGTTGCACCAGTAATGCATTACTATCCACAGAATGAGATTGTTTGGGCCTAAACTGTTTCATTCATGTTATTTATTAATTTTCCTTTCTCCCAGAACAGCTGAAGAACCAAAAGATGACAAGTAATCACTGCCATTACTGCATGGAATCCCTTCTTGGCAGGAGGTATGCATTTAGAGAAGAGAATTCTTACTGTGTTACATGTTATGATGGCCTATTTGCTAACTCCTGTGAAGAATGCAAGAGGCCCATTGAATGTGATGCCAAGGTAAGCATTTAGTTCATTTTTCTGTATTTATTGAGATTGTTAAATCACAGAGCATGAAATCCGCCTCTTTGGGGGTGGGTTCCACCCAAGGCTCTCTGTGCCACGGAAGCCTTCAGAATCCCTGCACAGGTATGGCGACCTGGACTTAGCTGTTGTACAAAGGGGAGATGGAGCCTCTGCACACCAGGGAGGGGGGTTCTATGCTGACTGGACGTATGCTGCTGCAGAAGGAAGCGTTGAGAGCAGGGACCAGAGGACCTACATTTATGTGGATGCAGTGGTGGAGAAGCCTTGAACAGAGTCTGTAGTATAGTGGTGATCTATGGTCTACCCCGACATTAATAAGTGGATTCTATCCCTCACTGCCACTTAATTTCCTGCATAAAGACTGCACAGTTTGGTGGACGGGACTGGGGAGAGGGTCCACCCAGTAAGCAATAGAACTACTTAATTCACTTCCACAATATTTTGTAGTATCGTCAACTTCTGATGAAGCATTACCTTACTTAACAATTTTAGGGTTTTATACCTATGTCCTTTATTGCAGGACCTGAGTGCCTTCCATATAAAATCAATTAGCATACCAAAGTCCCTAGTGGACCTCCTAGAGTCTCTGGCTCTTCTGCCTTTTGGAGGGTATAAAAACTCTGGGGTGGTGTGTGTGCTAGTTGTGAGTGTTGTTCCTGTTGTGGCAGAAAGGCTTGGTTATTGTAGAGAGATATCTTGGGTTGTTTAAATTTATCTTTCACTCTAGCGCTCTCAGTAGTTTCAGTCTCTCACTCTCTCCCTACTCTACCCTCTCTTGCTGTCCCTTATTCAATAGATAAGGTCGCAGGAAACTTTAAAATAAATACTTCCGAGAGATGTCAAGTGAAAAACAACTTCACTTTGTCTATAAATAATTTCTATTGCAAATGTTTAGTCAACACACAGGAGTTCGACTGGAAGGCAACAATATTTATCATTTTTATGTAATGCTGTCTGTCTTTGTAAACAAGATGCCTTGAGAGGGCGTATTTTGGTTAAAATATCTTACTTGCAGTATGACAGCTTAATTTCGTATTTATCTCACAATGCCTGGCTTGTCTCATCAAGGAAATCTCCATGATAGGCGCAATCAGACAGAACAAACTTCTGGACTTTGCTTTCCTTGAATCTAGGCCCCTTGTAGAACATTAATTAGAACTGGGAGATCCCAAGTAAATGCAATTAGCTGGGTGGCATCTGTCAGCTTTTTTCTTTGGCTCTGTCTCACAACCCTGCATTTCACTTTGAATTTCATATTCAAATGAACCCAGAAACGTAAAGATGATCAAAACATCTGTGTTTCACACGGTTTCAAAACACAGTCAGAAATTTGCCCAGGCTCACTTGTACCATAGACCAGGTTTGCTCACAAAGTTTGGAAAAATAGGATGTTGTTCTGCTTAGCAGGAGATCTGAGTTCAGAAATCACATCAGGAATTAGTGGTGCAAGTTTAGTGCATAATAATATTTAATTACAGAGATGGACCCAAGCCACAATATTTGGAGCCAGATCTGGGTTTGTGGTTCAGCTCGTTACAGGAATAAAGTCCAGCTGCAATCTCCTGATCCAGATCTTCCTCATAATTAGGTGTGCTTGGATCTGGAAGGGTGTTGGTTTGCCATAAAGTAATTTGAGATCTGGATCCACCTCCTACTGCATCTGGTGATATTTGGTTCCAGGGTTTTAGGCCCAGTTTTAAATAACATAACAGACGATACTGTTCTTTGCATCGTCAAAGCACTGCAAAAACATTAATCCTCTCAACGTACCCATAACCAGTGCTTAATTTGTGCCATGGGCTTGCCAGGGCTGAGCCCTGGCACCTCTAGGTTTGCTGCATCAGTTATGAAAGTAAAAAGAAGCCTTGAGCCCTGGCATCTACTTGCTTGAGCCCCAGCACTACTTTCATTACAAATTTAAGCACTGCCCATAACAGAGGTAAGTAACTATTATTCCCAATTTACAGATGAAGAAATTAAGCCTGAGATTTGGGTACACCTATGCTGGAGCTGGAAGATGTATATTCCAGCTCAGGGAGACATACCTGTGCTAGGCCTGATTGAGCCAGTACACTAAAACTAGAAGTGTAGCTGCAGAGGCATGAGTGGCTAGCCATCCCAAGTACAATCCCATCCAAGACCATAGACAGGTACTCAGGGAGATAACCCCTCATGCTGCTTGCGCCATATTTTTAGCTTGCTTCTATTTTTAGCATGCTTGCTGAATCATTGCTAGTGTGGGTATGTCTCCTCAAGCTATGTCTCCTCAAGCTGGAATTTACACATTCCCGCTCTAGTGTAGACATACCCTTAGAAAGCGGTCCAGACCCAAAGAGGAATCAGTGTCTGATCCATGATTTGAGCTCAGGAATTCCCAGACCATGCACTTAGCATATATCATGTTCTCAGGGCCCAATTAATATGGAAGCTGACCTCGGCACAGGGATTGCGGTTGAGTGGAAGTTTCTTTACTTCAGCTTTAAGCCTGTCCTATCCTGCGCTGTCTTGGTGATGGTTTAGCCCCAAGTGCAGGGTAGAACTGCCTGAGAGCTGCCCGAACTTGTGATTCCTGTCCGTAGCCCTAAATGGCCACTGCAGAAACTCAGACAAGCCAGGGCACAGCAGCAGCCCAGCCAACAACATCTATGTCTCTGCATCAGTGCCACAGCGTTTCCCCTATGCTAAAGGTATCTGCAACAGATGATCTAGGGGTGTTCTATCAGCCTGGGGAAGCACCCTACATTGGGGGGAAATCCCTAGAGGTCTGGGTCTGATGGCTTTATCACCCCGTTACATTAGCAGAACCCGCTCAAAGAGGCCAGAGGATAATGGGAGGGTAATGGTGGGCAAGGCCCATCCTCTTCAGGGAAGGGGTCAATGGCCCTTGTGGAGGTTCAAGATAGGGCCCAGCTGTGTTTCATATGGAAATTATCAAGGAAAAACTGCTGATTTGGGGAGAACTGTCCCAAAACTCTATGACCTGCATTTTCAACAGCAAATTCTTCTACGTGGCCAAGAGAGCCTGTATTCTGAAGCCCAACCAACCTGCCTAATCCAAAATTTAAATTTAAAACAAGCTAAGCAGCAGGATCTTTTCATACTAATGATTTTGTCCCCTAGATGAATGGTTGAATCATCTCCCTAGGACTATAGCGTGTCTACATTACAAGCACTACAGCAGCACAGCACTTCCATCACTGTAGTAAATCACCCGCTCGAGAGGAGGTAGTTAGGTGGATGGAAGAATTCTACACCAGGACTTAGGTTGCCTTAACAGAAAGTTTCTTAGCGGTGTGAATTTTTCACACTCCTGAGCTACATAGCTAAGTTGGCCTAAGTTTTAGCCATAGAGCAGGCCTGAGAGACAGGAAAAGATAATAGGAGTGAAATGAAGGGGGTACAACAGTCAACTAAAAAAATTGCCCCCTTAGGCTGACAATTGGTTGTTCCTCACAGAATTAAGGGGCCAACTCTCTGCCTCCTTCTTCTCTCCTTTGTATTTATTTTTAGTTATTTTTTGCCTCAGGCTACTCTTTGACAACAGTTTTTGTTTTATAGGCACTTGGAGAGAGCAGTAGGTGTTCAGCACCTCTTAAAATCAAGTCTTGTGTATTTTATTTCCCCTTTTATTACTTTAAGGGGAACTGACAAGGACAATAAAAGGGATAGAATTTGTGCCCTTTTGTGCTTCTTTCATTAGAAAGAAGACCTGGAAGGATTTGGTTTATTTCTTGTAGGATTTGTTGCTGTTTAGCTGTTTGTTTTTCTGCTTGTTTTGTTTAAACCTTAGAAATGTCAGGAGTCTTAAGCCATATCTTCCTTGATTTTAATGAAACAAAGGGAAAACCTTGTATGTATCTTCTCAGCTTTCTCAGCGCTTAAGCATGTTGGATTATTAAAAGAAAATCTTTCCTTCCAGCTTGTTAGAGGGTGATTGAGTTAAATGGGTTTTAACAAAAAACAAACAAATGCAAAGGGTTTAATAGTCTGAGTAAAAATCACTTCCCCGCTCAGTTAAACAGGTTTCACTTGCTTGCTATCTGTGAGGCCATAACCCTTTAAGTTCTTCAGTTGTCCATAGAGTCTTCCAGGGGAAAAAAAAAAGACCTGAGTTTTTCATGTGGAGACCATGCAAGAAAAAAAATCTGGTGGTGTTTATTAAAGGGACGAAACCCATTTGTTTCCTGGGAAGATTGCCTTTAAAATACAAAGTCATCCTTTATATTAAACAAAAAATACTTCTCAAGTGTGGGGGCATGGAGTATCAACTATAGCCTGAGCCAAAGCAGCTCTTTGTGGCCAATAAAAGTGAACTACAGAATATCCTGACTGTCTTTCCACTCTGGATAGATTTTGTCATCTTTGACAATTACCCTCCAGACAGTGGCACAAGCCACTGGTCCAGTCACTCTCCAACTGTTTTTTGTTTAGCTTTTGAAAAAAAAAAGTGTGGGGCTGTGGGGGTAAACAAATGCTTTCCATTAACATGTATTTTCTGTCTCAAAGGATCTCGCCTATAAAGGCCGCCACTGGCATGAAGCGTGCTTCAAGTGTGCCAAATGCAATCACTCTTTGGTGGAAAAGCCTTTTGCTGCCAAGGATGAGCTCTTGTTGTGTACTCAGTGTTATTCTAATGAGTATTCATCGAAGTGCTTCCACTGTCAGAAGGCCATTATGCCTGGTAAGATAACAAGGACTCTTCGCTACCTCTGTGAAATGGTTATATCGCACTTTTAATTAACTGCAAGCACTTGGGTAGTTAAGCTGCAAAGTATAATTTCTTGGCTTTCAGTACAGCATGCAGTGGACTATCTCCCCGCATTTAATCCTTCTGTCAGTTAGTGGGGTGGGGGAAGGCAGATACATGCTCATCTTCTGTGATCTAACATTGCATGTGTAATTATATTACACCCCACAAGGAATAATATTACAGTCTTGAAACAGAATCAGATTTGCCCACATAGACTCATTGACTTTGCCTACACTGGCAATTTTCAGGAAAATTACAATTAGACTTGCTACAGTGGGAGTGCTAGTATGAGCGTAGGGAACACTACTATCTGTATTTTTCCATTATGTCATCTAGACCTTCAGGGATCAGACCTGGTTACAGGGGGTTTTTTTGCATGGAAATGTTTGTTGTTAAAAATGGCATCTTCAAAGATGAAAAAAATTTGAAAGAAAAGTTTCAAGATGTTTTGTTTTTGTTTTGTTTTTGTGATGTTTTCTATGATTAGTTTTAACTTGAATTTATATCAGATTAAATGTCTTAAAATTATCAACATTTTTAATTTACCAAACACCAGGTTTAGTTTAGTTTTTTTACTGAAAACCAGCTTCAAAAATGACAGCTTTGTGGAGGGGGGGGTGGGGGTGGGGGAAGAAGGAGAATCATAAAAAAAACCCACAGGAAATTAGTCTTATTTTGAACCCTGCAAAACTTAAACCACTTTGGAATTTCTAAAATTTGTCACTAAATCACTTTGTTTTTTTCAACCAGCTCTGTTCAGGATTTACCATGGTGGTGTTTCTGCATGAGTTGGGCAGATTCAATCCTAACTCAATAGTGGGAGATTCCCTGAAAACACCATGCAACTGAAGAGACAACGGCAGCCCATATGTGGCAAGATGAACTGGCTTGTCTAGGGCAGTGTGTCTCAACCTTTTTGATACCAGGGACAGCTTGGTCCCTTCTTAAACTGTCTCAGGGAAATCTCAGGGACCGGTCCTTGAGAAACACTGGTCTAGGGCATTAACAAATAGGATCTGGCAAACATTAAGAGAAACCAATGGGAAAGGAGGGTTGGCTAATTTTTCAGGAGACCTTAGTTCCAAAATACTTAGGCCTGGTCTACACACAGTTTTTGTGTTGGTATAGCTCTTTTGGTTAGGGATGTGATTGATTTTTTTGTTTGTTTTTTTTACTGGTAAAACCCATAGAGTGGATGCAGTTATACTACTGTAAAGGTGCTATAGTTCATTCCCCTTCCCTTACAGACATACACTATACTGAGGCCTGGTCTACACTAAAAAGTTAAGTTGGAATATCTACATCAGTCAGAGGTGAACAAAATCCACACCCATGACCAACATACCTAGGCAAAGCTATCCCCCAGTGTAGACACAGTGAGGTCGACTGAACCTAGCTACTATCATTCGGGAAGGTGGTGTTCTTAGGCATGTGTACACTATCACTTATGTTGGTGAAAAAACACCCTACCCCCCCAAGCAACATAAGTTTCACCGGCATAAGCACTCATGTGCAGTTATATGTTGGCAGGAGAGCTTCTCCTGTCGACATATTTACTAACAGTCCTCTAGGTGGATTTATTATGTCTATGGGAGACCTCTCTCCCGTCAGCATACAGCAGCTACACGAGCGATCTTACAGTTGCGCAGCTGCATCGGTACAGCTGTACCACTATAAGCTCGCTAGTGTAGACATGGCCTTACAGTGACGGAAAAAAAACATCCATTAGTGTAGGCTACATCTACACTTCAGGGTTGTATAGGCATCGCTACAGTGATGTAGCTACCAGTATAGTCTCCCTAGCATAGGCATACCCAAATATAAGCACATTTTATGCCAGTATAATCGCGTCTATACAGGGGTGTTATACCGCTTTAACTACACCAGTATAAATAAATGACCAGGGTGATGTCTAAAGACTTGTCTGCACTACAATGTAGTTCCAATGCTGTAGCTATGCCTCTATGATCCTGTAGTGTAGACACATATTACAGAGACAGAAGGAGTTTTTTCTGTTGGTTCTGTTCTCAGTTCTTTCATGGAACAAAGGGTAGGAATAAATGGTAAATTTTCAGAATGGAGAGGGGTAACTAGTGGTGTTCCCCAAAGGTCAGTCCTAGGACCAATCCTATTCAACTTATTCATAAATGATCTGGAGAAAGGCGTAAACAGTGAGATGGTAACGTTTGCAGATGATACTAAACTGCTCAAGATAGTTAAGACCAAAGCAGACTGTGAAGAACTTCAAAAAGATCTCACAAAGCAACAAAAGAAGTGAGGTTCTTACCCACGAAAGCTTATGCTCCCAGTACTTCTGTTAGTCTCAAAGGTGCCACAGGACCCTCTGTTGCTTTTTACAAAATGACAAATGAAATTTAATGTGGATAAATGTAAAGTAAAGCACATTGAAAAAAATAACCCCAACTATACATACAATATGATGGGGGGCTAATTTAGCTACAACTAATCAGGAAAGAGATCTTGGAGTCATCGTGGATAGTTCTCTGAAGACGTCCACGCAGTGTGCAGCGGCAGTCAAAAAAGCAAACAGGATGTTAGGAATCAGATGTGGTCTTCTCGTCTCAAAAAAGATATACTGGCATTAGAAAAGGCTCAGAGAAGGGCCACTAAAATGATTAGGGGTTTGGAACGGGTCCCATGTGAGGAGGGATTAAAGAGGCTAGGACTTTTCAGCTTGGAAAAGAGGAGACTAAGGGGGGGATATGATAGAGGTATATAAAATCATGAGTGGTGTGGAGAAAGTGAATAAGGAAAAGTTATTTACTTGTTCCCATAATATAAGAACTAGGGGCCACCAAATGAAATTAATGGGCAGCAGGTTTAAAACAAATAAAAGGAAGTTCTTCTTCACACAGCGCACAGTCAACCTGGGGAACTCCTTACTTGAGGAGGTTGTGAAGGCTAGGACTATAACAGCGTTTAAAAGAGAACTGGGTAAAGTCATGGAGGTTAAGTCCATTAATGGCTATTAGCCACGATGGGTAAGGAATGGTGTCCCTAGCCTCTGTTTGTCAGAGGGTGGAGATGAATGGCAGGAGAGAGATCACTTGATCATTACCTGTTAGGTTCACTCCCTCTGGGACACCTGGCATTGGCCACTGTTGGCAGACAGGATACTGGGCTGGACGGACCTTTGGTATGATCCAGTATGGCCATTCTTATGTTCTTATTGTGACAGACCCAGACCAGAGGGGTACAGGAGTCTGGTAGAGGGCAAATATACTGGTCACTGGATGAGTAGTTTTCTGTTCCCTGAGTGACCAGAGAAGGGGCTGCACTAGAGTAATCAGGAACCTGCTAGAACCAGTTAAGACAGGCAGTCTAATTAGGACACCTGGAGCCAATTAAGAAGAAGCTGCTAGAATCAATTAAGGCAGGCTAATCAGGGCAGCTGGGTTTTAAAAGGAGCTCACTTCAGTTTGTGGTGTGAGTGTGAGGAACTGGGAGCAAGAGGCACAAGGAGCTGAGAGTGAGAGGGTGTGCTTCTGGAGGACTGAGGAGCACAAGCATTATCAGACACCAGGAGGAAGGTCCTGTGGTGAGACTAAGGAAGGTGTTTGGCCGAGGCCCTGGGGAAGTAGCCCAGGGAGTTGTAGCTGTCATGCAGTGGTTACAGGAGGCACTATAGACAGCTGCAGTCCACAGGGCCCTGGGCTGGAACCCGGAGTAGAGGGCGTGCCCGGGTTCTCCCCAAACCTCCCAATTGACCTAGACTGTGGGTTCTTCCAGAGGGGAAGGTCTCTGGGCTGTTCCCCAACCCACATGGTGAATCTCTGAGGCAAGAAAATCCGCCAATAAGCGCAGGACTCACTAAGATAGAGGAGGAACTCTATCACATTATGTACTAACTCCACCTCCCAGAGCAGCAGTAGCCCCATTGACAGATGCAGTCTTCCATCAACCTAGCCATGTGTTACACCAGTGGGTAGATTGGCATAGCTACATCTCTCAGGGGTATGTAATTTTTACACCCCCTAAGTGCTGTAGCTATGTTGAGCTACATTCTAGGTGTAGACCAGGGCTGATTTTAGTGGCCTTACCATGATTGTCCTTTATTATTGCTTATTTCTCCACACTACAAACTACCCTATAATTTGGCATAAAGAGAATGGCATGAGGGTTATCAGTCTCTGCTCCATTTGGGAATAGTAGAGAAAAGTTAAAGTACACTGACAGGGTGACAAGGTGAAGCTTGCCTGTTTCTGCCTTGTATACCATTAACATCTCTTATTTTTCTGATTACTAACTTCAGGATGATAAGCCCCAATAGGCAGGGTCAGCAAGGCCTGTTCTCTTACCCACTCTGGTGAGTGCTGAGTGCTCAGGGGAAACTCCAACCCAATGATGTTAAAGCAAAACTCACTCAGCAGCTTCTCCCCCCATCCAGAATGTGGGCACTCTCCTCCCTGCAGGATCGCCTGCGTTGGAGCATGTCTCCTCCTCCCCTACAATGGGGGACAATTAGAGGTCCCTGATCTCTCAGCACTGAGGCACTGCCAGAGGAAAAGAGGAAAATTGCAATGTGGAGTCACTAAAAGAATTACTATAGTACATGGGGGTGTACGGGTTATGACTTTGTAGATGAATTGGGCATGGGAGGCAATGGTAATCGGGCTCCAAAGCAAGGGTTTTGGCAGATCTGACTCAACAAACGAAGTGCAAAACTCTGAGCTTTCAAATCTCCTTTGATAGATATTTATATCGGCAGTTTCCTTTGGGGATTGCCTCAGCACCTGAGATGTACCAGACCATCATGTCCTGGACCTTTGACAATCTGTATAGGGTGGAAAAAATTAGTAGTGATCTGTGGTGAAAATGATTAGCAACACTAAGAGACTGTCATTTTCTGCATCATGCCAAAGAAATTAAAATTAATTTGAAGAGAAATGAATGCCAGCCTGGTTTGAATGAGATTACTTATGCATGACTTGTATTCATTAGTAAAGGAGTTTGACCTGACATAAGAAAGTTGGAGGAAATTTGTGTAAGTGAAAAGACCTCAAGAGTAGGAGAAATTCATGGGCATGCTAAAATATCTAAGCAAATTAATCCCCAGTTTGTGAAAGTGAAGTGCTCAATCCAGTGTGCTGCTTGAGCACAGGATAGAAGGGCACTGGGATGACTGACAAGAGAAATACTTTTGGGAATTAATACAGTGTGTCACAGAAGAACCTGTCCTAAAATATTTTGATACTAGAAAAAATTCTAAAATCTCAGTTTATGCAAATTCAAGTGGATGGGGGCTGGGTGGGAGGAGCTGTCCTTCTGCAAGATGATCACTTAACTTCAGTGGGACTCACATTCGTGTTTTGTTTTTCAGGTTCTCGTAAAATGGAATTTAAAGGAAGTTGCTGGCATGAAGCCTGTTTTGTTTGTCAATACTGCCGGCAACCATTAGGAACAAAGCCTTTGATTACCAAAGACAATGAGAATTATTC